TATATCTACCTACAGTATTGGTATGTCGTATTACCAAATACACAGGTATATCTACCTACAGTACAGGTATGTCGTATTACCCAATACACAGGTGTATATTGAGTATATATATGTACATATCTTTTAGACAATACACACCAGTTATGTAAATGCTACGGTTTATAAACACAACCTCCACTGACCTACTTTACTATCGATTGCTTTATTATCACTGTTTGTCTGTCGGTAACCACGCTCAACAGGGAAGTTATTTAGTCTGTACAACTGCAGGTCTAAACAGGTAGATCTACGCATTGCCATGGATTTGTGTACACAGGACAGACATTTGTTGATATTACTTACCAGTCAAATTTCATCTTTCAAGGTTTGATCAAACTTTTACAATGTCAGCAGGAAAGTGACAGATTTATCAACAAACCTAGAGTGAAGTTCATCCTGTGATTGTGAATTCCAGGGCTAGATAAATATGGACAATGTAAGTGAACCTTCTGAAGTGTGGAACGGTAAACCTGGATTCATCATCACAGTAACCCTGTGACAGCAGTGATCGTGGGGTAGTTATTCTATAGTATTTTTATATTACGAAATACTAAACAAACATACACTACTGGATGGGACAGTTATAAGTCAAGTTTTCATTTCTTTACATAACAAACTCTTATTTATGAGTGTTTACTGATAATATTATATTGATTACTGATAATATTATATTGATACAAGAACAACAAACATCTTCAACATTTCAACAAATATTTCAGCTTTTTTTTTTTTTTCAAAATGGCAACCCCTATAAGCCAAATACCTCTCCGTACTAAAGGTCAAACCACATGTATTCACCACAGGAGAAGACAGCTAGAATTGTATTGTGAAAAATGTCAGGAACCGGTTTGTCTAAAATGCCTTTCTTCTATTCACAAAACTCATACAGTGTGTGAGCTAAGTGAAATCACTCCCCAGAAAGAACCAGACATTAAAAACTTTATAGACAGAACAGAAAAAAATGACCTCGTGCAAATTGGGAAATACATCACTGCTACTGATACGCTCCTTAAAGACAACACCAGTGGTTTTGAAAAGCTGTCACAAAAGTTAAAAATGCAAACAGATAACTTAAAACAAGAGCTGGACTTGCTTACAGCACTGACACTCTCTCTTTACCAAAAAATGGAACAGGATAATACCTCGCTGATAAATAAATACAAACAGGACCTGGAGATGTACGAGAAACAACTCAAACAACAAATTCATGAATGCAAAGCAGCTCTCCAGCGTGGTTCACACATACAGATTTATGATACATTTTGTGAGATCCATTCTCCTACACACAGTCTCCCTGTAAAACCTGTCCTGGGTACTGCCAACTTCACTCCAAATGAAAACCCTCTAGATCACTTAAAAAAAGCCTTGGGGAAAGTTACCACCTCAGGTCAAGGTCAAACTTTAACTGACCAGGATCGGTCAGTCTCAACATCTGATGATCGGGGACCCTCTACACAACAACAACAACAGTCGGGAGCCAAAGGGAAGAAAGCAGTGACAACATACAAACTACTGCCACAGACCAAGGTAGTGGAGGAGTGGAAGTCTCCATGTGACATTGGTTCTATATGTCCCACCACTGATGGTCAGCTGTGGACCAAGGCCAGTGACACATTAACTCTCCTGGACAGGAAGGGTAAAGTAATACAGAAGGTCAAACACAATGTCTGGATCAATGGCATCAGTCTGTCACCCACCACACACACACTGTGGGTCTGTGATGATAAAAATAACATCATGGAGCTGGTATCAGGACGACTGACTCACAGATTCAGTACCAAGGAGGAACCCAGGTGTATATGTATTACAGCCAGTAACCATGTCATTGTAGGGATGACCAAACACATCTCCAAATTTACCACAGATGGTAAAATGGTGTGTACTACTATGGCTAAAGGGACTGGGAAACCATTAGTGTGTACACCATACAGGATCTCAGAGTGTCCTGTCACTCACAATGTGGCAGTCACTGATTTCAGTCTTGTAAGTGATGGTGGTTATGAAAATCAACATGTTGTTGTGATGGACACTGATTTCAAGGAGCTGTTTGTATATAGAGGTGACATCCCCAGTACATATAAACCAACACCACAAACAGGAGGTGAACGATTTTACCCCTGTGGTGTGGTGTATGACAGTGTGGGGAACCTGATCATAGGGGACGAGGACAACTACAGGGTCCTACTCATCAGTGGAGGTGGTGAGTTCCTCAGGGTCATACACACAGACACAGACCGTACATGGGCTGTAGGTATAGACAGGGAGGATGTCCTGTGGGCAGTGTTTGAGGGTGACAATGTCAAACTACTACAGTACAGCAGTGTGTAGCACCTGTAACCAAACAACTAGTATATCTAGTTACAATGACATGGAAATCAGAGAAAAAGGAAACTCACATGATTACAATTCAACTACAGATTGTGAGACATTCACAGGATTATTAGTAAAGTGTCTAGACTACAGATTGTGTGACATTCCCAGGATTATAAGTAAAATGTCTAGACTACAGATTGTGTGACATTCCCAGGATTATAAGTAAAATGTCTAGACTACAGATTGTGTGACATTCACAGGATTATAAGTAAAATGTCTAGACTACAGATTGTGTGACATT